CGCAGGGAGGAGGGCGGGAGAAGGCCACGCCGCCGGCCGGCGGAAAAAGCAGGAGAGGCCGCGGGGCCCATCCCTCGAGGCCCTGAGGGGGGGCCCTGGCCCTAGGCCCAGGGCCCAAGCCTCAGGCGGCCCAGCAGTTCCAGTCAATATCATATCGATGTTGTTGTTTGTTATCTTAACTTTAATGGCATATCGATGTTGCTGTTGATGTTATCTAAACTGTACTCCAATTCCCTCCTCCCCTCCTCCGCCTTTCCTCCTCTTCTCCCTCCTCATCGTGCCTCCCCTCCCCCTCCCTCCCTGGGTCCCTCCCCATGTCCCTCCCCGTGGTGGCTGGGCTAGCCGGGCTAGCTGCACTGTCGCATGCCGCGGGCCGGAGGGAGGATCACCCCACTCCCGTCAGGCGATGCCGCGGGCCCCGGGCCGCGGCCGCCGCCGCTGGGGCCGCTGCGGCCGCCGCCTGAGGAGCCCGTCTAGGGCCGCCCCCTCACCCTCACCTCACCCCCTACTTCAGGAGATGCTTCACAGTGTGCTTGGCTGGGCCATCCTCCGGGCCAGCGGGGGCGGCGGCCGGCGCGGGGGCCTCCTCGTCCTCCGGCAGGGTGTTGAGGGCCGCCGCGCCCCCTAAGAGAGCAATCGTATCCTCGGAAAGCTTGTTCAACTGACGGGCCTGGCTTTTCTTCTCCGTGGGCAGGGTCTCATCGGGGAAGGCCGGCCTGGTCAGCTTCGTCCCGCCCTCGACGGCGAACGCTTCGGGCTTCGCGAGCTCGACGCCCCTGAGGGCGTAGTGGACGATCGGGATCTTGGGCGGGCACCCGTCGAACCTCAAACACTCCGGAACTTCGTATTCGATGACGTCGCTCTCGATATCGGTCGTGGGCTCGGACGGCTCCTTGCTCACGCTGACGGCCCACGCCGGCACGAAGCGCTGGCCGAGGGGATCGGTCATCCCGTGGCCGCTCAGGAAGAGAGGGATAAGGAACTCGTACTCAGACGATATGCCGTCGTCGTCCTCCACCAGCTCCATCAGCTGCGGCAGCTGCTGCGGCCCACTGTCGGCCGGGCTCACCTCGACGTTCACCGCCGCGGCAGCCTGCGCGGCTGCGGGGAGGAGAGGAGGAGGGTCGGAGGAGGACGAGGAGGAGGAGGAGGAGGAGGAGGAGGAGGACTCGGAGGAGGAGGAGGAGGGAGGAGAGGAGGGGGAGATGGAGGAGGAGGAGGAGACGGCGACGGAGGAGGAAGAGGAGGAGACGACGAGGAAGAGGAGGAGACGAGGAGGAGACGAGGAGGAGGAGGAGACTGCAGGCTCAGGAGTAGACGCGGAGGAGCCTCGGAAGGACGAGGTCAGAGACGGTCAGAAGATGAGCAAGAGAACGAGGAGGAAGGAGGACCTCGAGGGAGGAGGAGGAGGGGAGGAGGAGGAGGAGGAGGAGGTGGAAGAGGGGGAGGTGGAGGAGGAGGGGTCGAGGAGGCGTCGAGGCTGAGGCGGCCTCGACCCTGGAAACCGAAGGCCGAGGGTGGGAAGGAGGAGGAGTCCCTGAGGAGGAGGAGGAAAAGAAGCGGGGAATCGGAGCGCGCGGCCTCGTCGGCCACCTCGCCACCGCACGTCTGGAGCGGCACCATCTCCTTCTTCTGCTCGGGGGCCTGCTTCGCGCGCACGTGCACGGCGATGGCCCCGATCTGGGTGCACAGCGGCGTCCTGGACAAAGTGACCTTCCCGTTGAAAGGGACCGCCACGGACGTGTTCTGGGTCGGGGGGAGGCTGCTCGCGATCAGGTCCTGACTCTCCTCCTTCTTGGGCTTGCCGGACTTGTGGGCCGCAGCATTCACCATCATGCGGCTGGTCACATCCTCGTATTTCGCGACGGTCATCTCGTTTTGCTGCGAGATCATCCATTCGAGGTAGCCGCAGAGACGATGGGACCAGTCCAAGCAGAACTTGCTGCCAGACGGACGCACCTCGATCGGGAACCTCGCCTCGTCGACGAACTGCCTCTTGTGCTCGGCCACGGGGTCGCCCTCGATTGGGGCCCAAGTTTTCGGCACCTCGCTGGAGAAAGCCAGCTTGGAGTTGTCCCTGAAGCTCAGCAAGCCCCAAAGGTTCCTCCACCGCCGCTGCGAGACACTGACCTCTTTCGAGGAGCAGGAGCAGGAAGCAGAGACGGCGGAGGCGGAGGGGGCCCAGGAGGGAGGAGGGGAGGAGGAGGGGGAGAAGGTGGGGGAGGAGGGGGAGGCGGAGGAGGAGAGGAGGAAGGCAGAGGAGGAGGGGGAGTCGGACCGGAGTCGGAGTCGGAATCGGAGTCGGAGTCGGAGTCGGAGGAGGGCGGAGGAGGAGGAGGAGGTGGAGGGGCCCGAGGGGCCCAGAGGAGGCGGGCAGAGGCGGCAAAGGAGGAGGAGGGGAGTGAGGAGGAGGAGGAGGCGGAGGAGGAGGAGGAGGAGGAGGAGGAGGAGGAGGAGGTGAAGGCGGGGCAGGAGGAGGACGGAGGACGAGGGGAAGGAGGTGGAGGAGGAGTAGGAGGCCCGAGCTCAGGCTCTACAGGCCT